AGAGTTGCTCTGACACAATTGGCAGCGTGTGAACATAGCCTCCAGAGCCCGCTGCCTGCAGAGTGCATGAATAATCCGCTTTCAGCCGCTCTCTGTCTATTCTGCTCAAAAGCAGTCCCGGTAGGCTGAGAGTCCATGTATACCAGGGGTCCTCAATCGTAATGGTCCAAGGGCCACTCAACAGAAAGTCCCAGAAGCAAGAGGTCAGGCTCCCCTGAGTGTGTAATTTGTGGGCTTGTAGGTGTCAGGTAGCTGCTGTGAGGAAAGGACTGAGTAACGACAGCAATTAGTTTGATTGTGGCGTGTGTTACGACCCAAATGTGGAGCAGCTAGCGCTGGGTGTGCCTGACACGCGATTAATGTAGGAGCATCGGGAAGAGCTCGAAAGGAAACAAGGCGGAGCTGACGCTTCAGAGTAAGAGACACTGACTTACTGGTAGAAGTCTTGATGATTGTGATGAAGAGCGAAAGCTATGTGTGGCAGTGTGAGTGTCCTGTCACCGTGTCCCGATTGATCATGCGCCCTGGCTACTTGGCCAAGGGGATGTCCCTTTGGCTGACTGGTTAGAGCACACGACTCTCACCCGGGAGTCTGGGGATCGAATCCCACCCGGGCCCTCGTTTATCCACCTTGCCACACATGTTAACTCGTGGTTTGGATAGGTGATACAATGACTGAGTGCTGGCAGGAGTGCCGGACATCCGTATGTACTCCAGGCAGTGAAGTGAAGATGGACATCCGTTGGGTGGAATGCGCACCGGAGGGCGCTGATGGGTGGTGGACGTGACAGTACCCCCCACCCCCCACCCCCACCCCCACCCTAGGGACGAAACCAGAAGTCCCAGGGTGACTCGCTCAAAAGTCCAAGATGAGGAAGGGATCCAGAAAAACTGAATCTGGTCCAGGTTTAGAGAGTCTAGGTCAGTGGTTCCCATCCCTTGGCTGTGTGGTGACCTCACCATCTCAGCACAAACATGTTGTAGAAGAAGAAGAAATGATCTCTTGTATAGTGCCTCTCAAGATAAGAACCACGAGGCACTTGTATGTACTGAGATACCGACAGTTTGTGGGGCCCCGACCCCAGATTAGGAGCCACTGGTCCAGGTGTTGTAGTTTTAAAATATGAGCAGATTAAAGATTAAAGAGATTCAATGAGTGGAACAACTGGTTGGAAATGCGCTTTAATATTTGGAAACTTGAATTTGAAGCCTGTTTTTTTTTTTGTTTTGTTTTTGTTTTGTCTGAATTTCCACAACAGAATGACGCTAAAATTACCAGTGATATTTTTACATCAATTTATACCTATTTTCACATAATTTTCCACTAACATCAACATCCCATAAAAAAATCCTAACTTTTTTTAAATAATTTTTCTTCTTGATTTTAAAAGCTAACAAAAAAATGGTGGTTTAACAAAAATGACAACCAATCTCGTACAGTGATATTTAGGGGAGACGAAACAAAAATCATGACTTTGATCTCTGACCAAAGTTAGATTTAAACTTCATGTTCTGACTTTTTATCTCAGAAGTCTCAGAATAAATAATCCAGGCTTTAATCAGATTATTTCATCTGTTCTTTCATGTTGTTCTAACGGGTTTGGCTGTGAACCAACACAAGCACCGTGTCTGTGTTAGAATCGTATAATTGGGCTTCTTCAGCACCAGCCTGTCTGAGGACCCTGAGCAGCATGGTGACAGAGGAGTGAACCATCACAGAGTCACTCTGAACAGCTTTAGTCAGTGGCGGACTGGTAATCGGAAGAAACGGGACATTTCCCGGTGGCGTGGCCGTTAAACTGGCCCGCTCGGTGATTGCCGGTCACCACGTGCGTAATACCTAAATGAACAATCCATCATGCAGCTCATCAGGACATCTGCTGTCCTGATGTTCACACAAACGGAGAACACTGGGCACAAAGACACCCCCTCCTCTCACTTTGTCAGTGTCTGGCCAAGCGCAGCAGACACCCTCCCCCACCCCCCACCTCAGAGCGGCTACAGCACCACCGCACCTTTGGCCCCAGAGGCAAAATGGACCTAGATGGACCAGGAAAGGTGGAGCAGAAAAGGATTTAAAAAGAAGAAAGCTCTGGCCACAGATTCACGTCCAGGCTGGCCTGTATCTGATCGTGTTGGGAGAACCGGGTTATGGTGGAGTGTTTGGACCAGTTTAACTATCGCACAGTGCACAATGCTGGGCACGTGGGGCGGGTTGGGGAGGGAGAAACAGCAGCTGTCAGGAACGGATCATGATGATCAGGTTCTGATGATCAGATTATCAGACTCATCCTTTAGGGACAGAGAGCAGTGCATTGGACCGGTACCAGCACCGCCACCACTTCTAACTATAACCTTTCAGCATGTCTACTTTTTCTAGGGTACAGTGCATACCGGTAAATTTTCCAGATATTCATTAGTTGAAATCTCAGAGATTTTTGAAAACTTATCTGTGTGTCCTCAAACATCAGTCATCCACAGTCTGGCACGCGCTCCATCAAGGGCCGCATTTTGCGCAAAAGGCGCATCACTGCCGCGAGGCGCGCCGCGCTTCACCTTCAGCTCAGGCAGAGGATGTTACGTTATGAGATAGTTCAGGAAGAACTCAATTACCCAGAAGGCAGGACAACAAGGGAGGGAACGGCCTGGATGGTACAGGAGCGGTGGCTGAGGTTAAATAAAAGATCTGAAAAGGAGTTATGTCACCACATAATCTCCTCACCCCAAACGTAGCTTCTACTTACCACATGGCTACTAAATTACACAACAAAGGATGTACACGAATCAGCTTCTTGATCTGCAGAAAGGGAGAGTAAAAAAGGGGGGACACAAAGAAACACAGAACCAGAGTATCACTAGTCGTCAGTTCTGGTGGATGGTTGGTTGTGCTCTTGTCATCCAGACTTTGTTCTAGTTGTTCTCTCTCACCCTCTCTTTGAATTATAGTGACACTGTATGTATGTGAAATCCACACTCATTTATTTCAATTGCTATCTATAAGAATTATATTGTATATACTGTTTATAAAAAAGGCTGAGTATTATTTTCTACTTCTATATATATTAAGTGCTTTTTCTAAATACCTACCATAGATCGCACACACCTGATGTAATATCCTTTTCGAATTATTTTGATTCTCGTAGTTTGACAGATTTTCAGTGATTGACATTATTATTTTGTAAGTTTTTTAACTAAGTTCTGGACAAGAGTCACATATGTACCCACAGCAAATCCACTTTGATTAAATACGCTAAAATGTGTGTCCTGTATCAGAGCTACAAGTGTGTAGTTTGCAGAGAAATGAACCGCAGCAAAATCGGTTCATTATTCGTGGAGTTATGGTTGATTAAACATGCTGACTCTTCAATGCCTCTGTCAAAGAGTGGGGGCTCGACCGATCCAAGATGGCGTCGCCGCCGCTCGTCACCGCCACACGGGGCGCTGTTTATGCTTGCGTCCATCGTTTTAGCCAATCCGTCCGCCTGTCCCGAAGCACGTGACTTTTCCTGAACCAACTCGAGATTTGCTGTACGTCACTTTTAGCGCGGAGTTTGTTGTTGGCGGAAATTGTTAAATTAAAGTTTGAAAATTGTATTTTCAGCTAATTCAGCCTAACAATAGTCGCGCAGTGTAAATTAAACCGATAAAGAAAAACTTCGCGACTCTCTGGTGACTCGTTGGTGAAGCCAGCGGACTTAAAGAGGTAACTTTATGTTTTGCTGTCGCTAGTTTGTTAGCCGTCTTCGTCCTACGGTCACGTTTCAGTTTAAGCAGACCATTTTAATTGTGATCCATGCAGATTTCAACCCAAACGTCTCTGGTTTCAGATGGAGGTTTCTCCTGTCGAGGGAAACTCAGATGGATGTCTGCTCAAGTCTGACGGAGCTCCCAGGAAGAGGAAAATATCACGTTAGTCCTGCTTTATCCAACCCCCACGGCCTTTACTCGTTAACCGTCTCCATGGTGACGTTTTAAACGTTTGGCGGGGCTAGAAGCCTGCTTAGCCTTTCTCTGAACATCCAGCGCGTGCTCATTTAAAAGGCCCAACACGACCAGAACCACACGAATCAGACACTGCTGTGAAACGTTTAGTGTCACATTTTTACTACAATGTCACACATGAACGTTTATTAATCCAAATGGTACATTTAAAGCTAAACGTTGACGTCTGAATCTAATCTACTTTTAGGTTAGACGTTTTCTAGCGTACTAATTTAAACAGAAGCTACTTTATCTGTACTTTGGATTTAGAAGATGTCCAGCTGATCCTTTAAACTGATGCATCTGCTAACCCTAACCAGGAGACGTGGAGCTGGACATTGAGCTCCTGTATAAAGCTGTTCCACAAGTGGCCAAAGTTTTCCGCATCATCGATAAAATTGGAGAAGGTTCGTTTTGGAGGTTTACCTTTCCTGTAGCTGGTCAGGTGGTGACAGTAAAGGTGAAACGTTCTCACGCCAGGGACCTTCAGCTCCGTGTATCTGGGTGAAGCTCAGCTGAGAGATGGGAGGAGAGAGAAGTTTGCTCTGAAGCACCTGATCCCAACCAGCCACCCTCTCCGCATCGCTGCTGAACTCCAGTGTCTGACCGTGGCGGGGTGAGTCCTCCACCCACAGCTGCATCACTCGGAGAAAAGCTTCTATAACTAGTCTTGACCCGCAGGAGTGAGACATAATGTAAGGTATAATAGTAGCCCCAGGGCAGCTGTGGCTACATCGTAGCTCATCACCACCAGTGTGTGAATGTGTGTGTGAATGGATGAATGATACTCTGTAGTGTAAAGCGCTTTGGAGTCCTGACTCTGAGAGGCGCTATACAAGTGCGGGTCATTTATCATTTAATTAGGGGTGGACAATATACCGGCATCAGTATCGGTATCGGCCTATGTTAGTCATTTTTGAACATATCGGTGTCGGTCCGATACATAAAACCGGGCCGATATTAACAACTGATATTTTTTTCCATCTCGTCTCCATTTGTTTATCTGCTTCAGAGGGTGAGAGGGGTGATGTGTATTTGTTTAGTCATGTGATAGTGAATGTAATCATCTCAGAACGTGCGTGTGTGCGTGTGCGTGTGTGTGTGTGTGTGTGTGTGTGTGTGTGTGTGTGTGTGTGTGTGTGTGTGTGTGTGTGTGTGTGTGTGTGTGTGTGTGTGTGTGTGTGTGTGTGAGTGTGTGTGTGTGCGTGTGTGTGTGTGTGTCTGCTCTGTCTTCTCCATCCCCAGTGAGTCGTGGAGGATGGCTGCTTATACTGAGCCAGGATTCTCTGGAGGTTTCTTCCTGTTAAAAGGGAGTTTTCCTCTCCACTGTCGCTACATGCTTGCCTAGTATGAGGATTGCTGTATAGTCACTGACACTAGTCAGTGACTTGATGTGACCTGCTGGGTTCCTTATATAGGAAACGTGTTACTGATTGGCTTAATGACCTGACCTGTATGTTTACCGTGTGCAGGTCCTTGAGATGACTCTTGTCGTGATTTGGCGCTTTATAAACAAACTTGAACTGAATTGAATCCTCCATTTATTCGCGGGGAGTTTGTGTTCAGTACTCGTGCAATATCCGATGAACATTAGTATCTGTGTGTCCCTGAAGCGGTGTAGTTCTGGAAACCCAAGTTTCCGTTGCACTCACTGTTTTTAGTGGTTGAAGGTTACCATAACGTGTGTTTACCTGTAATCTTGTTACTTTTCTTCCTCTTCTCTAAGTGCTGCTGCAGCAAGTGAATTCCCTACCGTGGGATCGATAAACCACTCTATTCTAGAAAGTGATCATTTGTTGTTCCTGCAGAGGCAGAGAGAATGTTATGGGTGTGACCTACTGCTTCAGGAGAGAGGACCATGTGGTGATCGTAATGCCTTACATGGAGCACCAAGCCATTGTGGTATGTAAGCAGTCACCTTCCACCTTCTTCCTAACCTTTATTTGTTCCCTGCAACTAGAATCTGAGTTTCTGTTGCTGTTCCTCTGATTTCATCCCAAACCTTTCCCAGGATGTCATTGGGTCCATGAGGTTTGAGGAGGTCCATCTGTACATCTACCACCTGCTGAAGGCCCTGAAACACATCCACCAGTTTGGGATCATCCATCGGGACATCAAACCCAACAATTTCCTCTACAACAGGAAGAGTAAAACGTGTGTCTTCCTCTGGAGGACTTCCTGGTTTCATCCTGATGATTAGAGTAAAAGTCGTGTTCATCCAGTTAAATGATCTTTGTCCCGGCGTGTTTCAGCATTACCTGAGTCTGAGTCACTCTACGGATCCTATAGAGCATCTGGAGAATACAGCGGTGGACGCTCTGTAACGGTGGTTTTCTCCTGTACCTGTGCAGGTACGCCCTGGTGGACTTCGGCCTGGCTCAGGGGACCGCCGACACCCAGATCCAGCTGCTGAAGGCGGTGAGACAGAAAGGTGGACAGGAAGCTGCTCGGCGGAGCAAAGCTCCACCTAAACTCCCTCCTAAAACTTCACTCCCTCTGGCCGTGACACCTCCTGTTCCTCCTCCCTCCTCCTCCCCCTCCACCTCCTCCACCTCAGCCCTGGGGAAGTCTCTGGTTAAAAAAGCTCGTTCTGCCTCCTCCTGCTCACGAACAAAACACACAAAGGTGTCTTGCTGATGTTTGTCTGCCTTCTCACTCGTCTCTAGTGTGGAGCAGAAGGCTCACTGTGACTGGGTGGCTGTTTTCTGGCTTTTCTTGTTAAATGCAGGATTTGGCAGGACTCTGTAAAGCTCCACGACCCGTGTTCGGAGAAAGGAATCTGAACAGCCGCATGCTTGTCCCGTCCACCACGAAGCAAACTGCTCATGATGAAGAGGTGAGGAAGCCCTCAGGAGGATCCCACCCAGCTGTCTCTTTCCAGTGTTTCTTATCCGAGGGCGCCATCTAGTGGCTGACGAGCATATCACACAAATAGTTTCTCCTGTTTTTCTAAGATGGCAACTTCATGTTTCTAGTTGATAAATTTGCTTCTGCACTAACAAACAACACACATTTATCCCTTATCTCAAGCTGGTCAAGCCTCAGAGGACTGAGGGTGCGCCGCACCGGGCCGTACTTCCTGTCAAAGCCCAGAGCAGCAGTCAGAAAGCCCCCAGGAGCTTACAGCAGGGCCTCACCTGTAACTGCTACCTGACCGACCGCGTCTGCAACATCTGCATGGCCAGGTGACATAAACCATTTCACACTTTCATCCCGTCATCATAAAGAAAGAACATTCCCATCACTCATTCGTGCTTTTGTGTCCGTGTTCCTGTTTGTGACTGAAGGAAGCAGCAGGTAGCTCCCAGAGCAGGAACTCCAGGGTTCAGAGCTCCAGAGGTCCTCACCAAGTGTCCCAACCAAGGCACAGGTCAGCAGCTCCAGCCTTCTCCTGTAGCTCTGCTGCTGAGGCTACTGGGATGTTAGAAAGTCCAGTAACACCAGTACGTGTCCCAACTGTTCCCTCTCCCCTGCAGCCATCGACATGTGGTCTGCCGGTGTGATCCTGCTCTCCCTCCTCAGTGGGCGGTACCCATTCTTTAAGGCCAGTGACGACCTTCTCGCTCTGACACAGATCATGACTATAAGAGGCTCCAGAGAGACCATCCGCGCTGCTAAAACGTTCGGTATGAACGTGTTTCGCTACTTCAAAAGACTCGTCATTTTCGTCAGAGGTATACCTAAAACTACGAGAGACAAAGTGAGGAAAACAAATCTAGAAAATCACATTTTCTGATGTTTAAAGAAATTTTTTTGCTAATTATGGTGGAAATTAAGTATTTGGTCTCCTATAAACAAGCAGCATATGTGGCTCTCACAGACCTGCATTAACGAGCCCATGTTGGAACTCATCATCACTATAAAAGACACCTGTCCACAACCCAACAGTCGCACTGTCCAAGAACAAAGAGCCGACACCAGAAACCAGGCTGTAGAGCTGCACCTGGCTGGGAGGACTGGATCTGCAGCAGCTAAGCAGCTTGATGTGAACAAATCCATCGTGGGAGCGACTGTCAGAAAGTGGAAGATGTGCACGCGCACCTGTGTAAGCATTTGGACGACCTAGAAGAGGACTGGGAGAATATCGTCGTCAGGTGAAACCAAAACGGAACATTTTGGTAAAACTTGTTTACTCGTTGCGTTTGGAGGAGAAAGAATGCTGAGTTTCATCTAAAGAACACCATACCTACTGTAAAGCATGGGGGTGGAAGCATCATGCTTTAGAGCAGTTTTTTCTGCAGAGGCACCAGGATGACTGGTCAGTGTAAGGGGAAGAATGAATGGGGCTATGTATCGTCAGGTTTTGAGTGAAAGCCTTCCATCAGCAACGGCACTGAAGATGAAACATGGTTGGGTCTTCCGGCGTGACGATGATCCCAAACCCGAGCCGTATGTGCCGCACGTAGCACCACCTATTTCTCTCAAAGAAGCCAAGGCCTTCCCCAGAGCTAGCTGCTAATGCTAGCTCTGACGCTCAGCTGCATGTCAATCAAATCTAATTATTCATCATTTAAAGCGTTAATTACACCTAAATAGAAGAGTTACAAAATAATTCAGAGTTGTCGTGACTAAACTCGATCTCCACCCGTCTATTTTCGGCCGCTTATCCGGGATCGGGTCATGGGGGCAGTAGCCTGAGCAGGGAGGCCCACTTTCCTCTCCCCAGCCACTTGGACCAGCTCCTCCGGGGAGTCCCAAGGGTAGGAACGCAGATCCACCGGTAAATCCAGAGCTTTGCCTTCTGGTTCAGCTCTCTCTTCACCACGACAGACCGGTGGAACGCCCGCATCGCTGCAGACGCAGCACCAATCCACCCGTCGATCTCACGCTCCAGCTTTCCCTCACTCGTGAACAAGCTGGCTAAACTAGATCTATTAATCCTGAAATGGTTTTTAATCCGTCCCGTAAACGTGTTTATTTCTCTTTGAACTTGGCATTTTTAAAGTGACAACGTGTTGTTTTACCTTTAATCTCCATCGAAATGTTGTTGAAGATGAATAAAAAGATGTCTGGTGGCTTCATAACATATAAGCATAAAAATGAAGTTTAAAGTACATACCGTGTGGGTCTAGCGTCTTTAAGGGACGCCATATTTCCTTCTGGCCGGCTCGGGGTCGAGTGCTTGTCGATGGCGTCACATTAGGTGATTGCAGGATGTACGACTTACGGAAGTTACGTTACACGTTCAAAAACACTTAGATATGAAAAACATGGATTCAATAACAAAACAGCTAAGCTCTTTCCAAAGCCTATGTGAAAGAACAGAATCAAAGGAGAGGAAATATATTTTGACTGACCGGTATTGCCGTAGTTTGACGCCGCCACCGGCAGGCGCAGGACCCCGAGCAGATCGAGAAACTACAGCGCCCAGTGGAACTAACCAAAGTCTGAGTTACGCCGAGGTTGCGTTCTTTCTGCTCCGCAGGTAACATTTACCGTACCTAGCAACAGTCACGGCGATTGGGCGTAAAGCTACCCTGAAATGTATGAATTGCCTCCTATCGCCAGGAGATTGCACGCTGCCACTTTAACATGGGAGTCGGTGAGGGTTTCCCTTAGCCTGGCAAGCCAGACTAAATAAATGTATTATTTAGTCTGGCCACGCTCCATTGACGGCTCTCGGTTGTGGGGCGGGTTCTACCGTTGTCTTTCAAATGATCTCTGCATGCCACTGGACAATGATTGTGACATACTCACCGCAACAGCTATCGGTAAATGAGGCGGTCCGCAGTTGAAGAAGGGGAAAACACATCATTTTTTCTAAAAAAAAGCTCTTAAATACGTCTATCTGCTCCTGATTCTGATGAAACCCAAGTTCTAATAGTCCAACATGGATGTAAAAGCCGTTTCAAACGAGCTGTCGCCATCTTGTTTCCCTCTGTTGCATCATCCCACCCACCAGGCATATAGAGTGCCCTGATTGGCCCACAAAGCAGATAAAGCTCTGTCATTTGTTCACTAAGCAGATAGAGCACTATGATTGGCTCACCATTATGGACCAATCACAGCTCTTTGTGTTTGAAACCCCTCTAGAGAGCTGTGATTGGCCAGCCAGAATGCTGTTGGGGCTGCAGAGGTTCCAGTGGAGCGTTCCTAGACCAGTTTGGTCTAGTTCGCTAGGCTAAGTTTGCCCTGCTTTAGATCCAGCCCCTTGTGGATGAGTGTGGAACTGCAACTTTGTCACTTCTGTGTTGGCTTCATAGATTAAAATAAGCGATTTCCCGTTGTTCCGAACACACCGCTCGAGTAACGAAGCGGTGGCGTAAGCATTTCAGGGTCCTGGAGTGGCCTAGCCAGTCTCCAGATCTCAGCTCCACAGGAAATCTTTACTGGGAGTTGGGTCCAGCGACAGACCCAAACATCACTGCTCTAGAGGAGATCTGCATGGAGGAATGGGCCAAAATACCAGCAACAGTGTGTGGAGACTCAGAGAACGTTTAACCCATGTCATCGCCAACAAAGGGTGTACAAGAGTACTGAAATGGACTTTTGTTCCTCACCAAATACTTTTTTCCAACATAATTTGCAAATAATTTCTTTAAAATCAGACGATGTTATTTTCTGGATGCTTTTTCTCATGTTGTCTCTCATAGTTGAGGTATAGCCATGATGAAAGTTCATCTTCATCAGAGGGAGAACGTGTAGCTGGAGGCTTTGCCCCACTGTAGTCTCTGAATACAAACCTAGCATGGTGTTGTTGGGGTTCAGGATCCAGATCCATGTTGGAACTTGTCGTTTCAGGGAAGGCGGTGGTGTGCAGTCGGGAGCTTCCTCGTCAGGACCTCAGAGCCCTGTGTGAGATGCTTAGAGGCAGGAGGTCAACGCTAGAGGGTGATGATGATGATGTCACCCCAGCTGCAGAGGTCAACGTGGGTCAGAGTTGGCGTCAGACTGGAGATGGGACTCCTGCCTCTCAAGCCGCTGACCGGACACGCAAAGATGGATCAGGAGAACAATCAACCTGCAGTAAAACAGCTGGTCCCACAACACGGCCCAGCGACGAGGAAGGAGACCAGCGGGGCTGGGACAACGTTCCTGATGAGGCCTACGACCTCCTGGATCAGCTGCTGGACCTGAACCCTTCAACCAGAATCACAGCCGCTGCTGCGCTGCAGCACCCGCTTTTCAAGGACCTGTGAGACCAGAACGAGCTCCAGGAGCTGCTCCGTTACCTCGTTCACCATGAACTTCCTTCAGTCCTTCACAATACGCCTCAAACACATCAGACGTGTGAAGCCGATCATTTAGTTTACTATAACGGTCGTTCCCCGGCGAAAGTCCTGGTGCCGTCTAGAGATTTGGGATTGAGAGGAATCACAAATGAAGCCGTCATGCCTGGGCGAGTGGTGACCTTTTGGTTCAGACCTCCTCTGGGAAGGACTTCGGACTTCCTGGACGTTCAGGCTGCAGCAGAAGTTTGACCAGAATAAACTAAAAGCTTCTGATGCTTTTAGGTATGTGAGACCGTTTTAGACTCTTATTGTGAAGGATTGGAGGAAGTTCTTTAATGTCCTGATGAAGAAGTCAGTTCTGGGTGTGTTTTACTGAGCGGGCCACACCAGAACCAGTCAGCTAACGAAAGGCTCAGTGGCCCGGACAGACCAGCGCAGAGGTCTACGTGAAGTAGCTCCTTGATGTCTGAAAGCAGGAAGTTACTCAACAGCTGATGGACGAGGTTCTAAAGGTGTGAAAGGACTTTTATTTTGAAGGGGGACTGAGTTTTAACAGTGAGAACCGGATGAAATGTCCACGTTGTGTAAAAGACCACATCAGAATGTTTGTTTGGTGGTAATAAAGTTGTGATTTGAGTCAGATGTTTATTTTATATCACAGGAGGCAACATTTCTCATCATAAACCTGAAAAGTACGCAGCGCCACAAGCTGCAGGTCCTCTGGTGGTCTACACGCCGTCCTTCACCTCGGTGAGCTCCTCGACGCGCACCAACACACTCTCAATCATGTCGAAGGTGTGGAGGGCAGAGTGCAGCGCCTGAAAGAAGCCGTTTTCACTAACATCACCGTGACTGCTCGTGTCTGAGGAGGAAAACACCGACCTGAATCTGAGAGTCCGGCGTCATGCGGGGAAGCTTCTCCTCTCCGACAGAGACCGACAGAACCGAGCGGTCTGTGAAAAACAAACGGTGTCACAAGATGTCTGGGCTAAAAGCCCCGCTCTGGAGTCTGGCCTGACCTTTGGCCTTCTTCTTGCCCTCCCGGGTATCCTGAAGCTCCCTCTCATAGTGGGCTCTGGACATGTTCAGCCCCACGCGTAGAGGTTTCATGAAGGTGTCTTCTATCTTATACAGCTCAGTCCAGATGCCCGTCTGAGGGAGGACAAAGTGGTTTAGAGAGGAGGAGGACAGGTGTGTGGGGCGTTTCCTGATGCCCACCTGGTTTTCTGTGACCTTATCTCGGATGACCAGGTAGCGCAGCAGGTTCAGAGACTCCATGACTCTAGAAAACAGCAGAGTTCACGTTACTGCAGCGGAACCAGCGTGAAGAACAAGGACGATCAGAGCAGTGTGGAGATGGTCCAGGAAGTCCAGAGCTGCCCTCGGGCACCGGTTCTGTTCACAACACTCACGGATAGAATTTCTTGACCCAGCACACGGTGGTGGGTTATATCTCGGTGTTGGCCAGGGAACATCTGGGGATCCAGATAACCAAAAGTTCTGCTCAGTACCTCCACCAGAACCTTCCGAGTACCCACCCCTGATCAGGCACTGAGAACGGCCGCTGGGCCGGCCCGGTCAGGTGGAGACGTGTGCGTGTCAGGAAGTTCTGGTAGTGGAAACAGCTGTAGCTCTTTCAGACGTGAGATCCGTTTCAATCAAGTTTTTTTGTTTAAATCTTTTTATTTCTGCTGCTTGTTTATTTTTTTATTTCTAACTGAAACTTAAATTAAACCAATGGATTTTTGATAAACGTGGTCTGACCCCTAAGACTTTTATCTTTATGGTCGTCTGAAGGCAACTATCTATGGTGTGAAGATACGAGACGTGCAGCATCTGAAACCACGGAGACTGGAAGCCTGCGCTGGTCTGTCTCCTGCCGTGTTGCTGTCAGTGTGAAGAGTGGGAGACGAGGGTTGCGCTGACCATCCTACACGATGGGCAGCACACTGAACACATTTCATAAGTAATCAGAAACTTGTGAATAACTCATGAAACCGAGCACGCCATTGCTTTTATTGTGAAATTCCCAATACTTTTGATGAGTCACATGACCCTCTTCCTATTGAAAAACAAGTTGGATCCAAGTATCTTTGGCCCATTTCATGTAGCCACTGCCTAACCCTGCCCTTGGACCTGACTCCATGAGCGTTCCCATGGAAAACCAAGCAATTCCGGGTCTGGAACTTTAGAGCAGCGATGTCCACTTTTGGACAAAAGCTACGAAGCCATCTGATCTACTGTTGGGTTCCGATTCCTTGTTATAACACCCACCTGTCCATGTACTGCAGCAGGTCCGTCTCTGGCCCGTCTGGAAGACTGAAGACTTTCCGTAGCAAAGGCATCAGGTGGGTCCCCTGAAACCAGGCGTTCTCCTTACCTGGCTGAAGGTAAACAAACGAGTGAAAAGCAGCAGCAGCAGGAGGAGAAGGCCGTGGAAACGAATCGGTTCTTTGACCTGCAGGGCTGAGTCGATCTGATTCTTGATGTTTTTAATGACGTAACCTTCAACTCCTGAGTGATGACTGGTCCTGAGCAGGTACCTGGGACAAGGTGCAGTTAGGACATGAAACAGAGAAATGGTTCCAGGATGCTGACAGGACCTGCTGGGACCCACTGGAAGAACCTGTACTTGGCCTCGGCGTCAAACTTATCGATGCTCAGCTGGAACACCTTCAGTCCTTTAGTCCTCTGGGGACAGACAGACATTCATCATGTTGTCTCAACAATAAAAGCAGAATCATACAAGCTAAACAGAAAAGTTGTCCCAGAACTCACCAGAACGTCTGTAGGACACAGGGTCATGACCTTTATTAGATCCTAGCAACAGATACGGAGCTTAAGCAGAGCTGAGGATGACCTCTGGACCGTGAAGGTAAGAGCTTACCTGAGGGACTGTGAGAAAGGTTTTAATCTCCAGCAGATCAGCTGCTAGACTGTTGTTCTCCACACACACCAGGCTCTTCTCATACAGCTCCTTCAGGAGAACACAGGTGAAAGCAGACCTGTGATGTCATGCACAACAGCCACAGATGAGCTCTCAGATGTGACATCATCAAAACTCCTGTTTGTCCATCTGGGATCCAGACGAGTCTGAAGGTCACGCCCTCGTGACCCGCACTAGGACCTCGTTACCACTGAGCTGCAGACCAGGCAATTATTGGCGTGTGTTAGTCTCGTCACATCTGGATCTGGAGATCACGCCAACATCACATCTGGATCTGGAGATCACGCCAACATCACATCTGGATCTGGAGATCACGCCAACGCGCCGCAGTCTGTCAGGAGAGTGTGGTTTCACACACGCTTCTGTTCTCCAGCAGCGTCCTGACCCAGAACCGACTCTATGGGTTCTCCAGCTCTAGATCAGTGATTAGTGGTCCATCACACACACACACACACACACACACACACACACACACACACACACACACACACACACAAGCAGGAATACACGGTAACTCACCAGTCCCTTTTGAAGCCCGAGGTCTTCGGTTCTATAAAAATGTAAACAGATAAGTTAACGTGTGTGTGTGTGTGTGTGTGTGTGTGTGTGTGTGTGTGTGTGTGTGTGTGTGTGTGACATCGTCAGCTGATTGCGGCATTAAAATGTACCACTGGAAATGATCCGTGTGCCCATCGGGCAGCTGTGGCTACCATGTAGCTCATCATCACCAGTGTGTGCATGACTGTTTGTGCTGTAAAGCACTTTGGGGGGTTTCTAGGACCATTTTAACGTTTAACAACAACATCCATAAATGCCCCCCCCCCCCCCCCCCCCAGCTAGATGATTCAGGTGTGGACCGAGCAATCCAGAGTCAGGTCTCACCTGGACAGGAGGAGAGAAACGTGCTCCAGGTTTCCACGCAGACAAAACACCGGGCTGCAGACCATCAACCACACGCATCCGTTAGAAAAGTCACTGATCCGCCGTGCTGGAAGCTTACTCCCTCCTCTTTACCTGAAAACACTGGGGAAGGTGTCTGCCGCCAGGTGATGCACGAACACCAGGTGAGCCAGGCTGGCTAGAGAGGTCTTAGGGTATCGCACCTCCTCCTCCAGGAAGCCTGGAACCTGCTTCCTCTTCAGCAGAGGGAGGAACACGAGAGCTGGGAGGGACTCTCCGATCGCACTGACGATATCCTGTAACACACACACACACACACACACACACACACACCATTAACACCAGGTGTGATGCAGGTCTACTGTGTTTAGTGGGCGTCCAGCACCAGGATCTCTGTGGCGAAGGCCCTGAGGGGAGACAGAGGCAGCGTGTCGGGGTCCTGGAGCTGCACCTCCAGCAGCGGCTGACTCAGCGCCTTCATACAGCTGCAGAACAGGAAAACACACGTGTTACAGCTGGTTTACAACGCAACCCCACCCAGGTCCACGTCTCAGGTTGGCACTCACAACTTCAGAAGTTCTGTCTGCAGCTCGTCCTCGCTGTCCCCGCCCAGGCCCCCCAGCGACTTGCAGGAGTCGCCCCGAGCTCTGCCGCTCTGCCTGGCCTCCAGAACAAACGGCCTCACAAAGTCCATCAGCTCGGCGCAGCAGCGGCACAGAGAGAAGATGGCATCCTCCTCCTGCTCCTTGGTGCCAGGGACGGGCAGCTTGGCCAGCTGGTCCAGGACAGAGGACAGGGTCATACCCAAGAAAGAGGCCTTTCGGCTGCCCAGGGACAGCAGCACTGATGGGACAGAGGAGGTCAAACGGCTGGATGAAGAGGAGCGTCACAGAACTTTTATCAGAGTCGGCAAAACCAATCAGAACCTTTCTGTAACGGGCCGAGCAGGAGATGGAGACGGTTGGCTATGCCGTCAGGATCATCGTGTTCCAGCTGCTCCAGCAGACCAATCAGAAGCTCTTTGGGCCGGCAGGTCTAAGAGGACACACGTCAGAGGTCATGACGCCCACGGGGGTGGCAGCAGAGGGACATCGGAGAAGCTACAACACCCCGCTCTGACCAACACGCTGCTTCTCAACACCGTGTTGAGCAGAGTTTGGTTCATCTGAAGACCGTCTCCATCAGCAGGGAAGAAGGCTCAGAGAAGCACAAACATGGATCATGACATCATCACGCTGAACCCACCCACCGCTGCTTACCCACGTAAGGGCTGTTGGTTTGGCCCCGCCCCCTTCTACACACCTCCAGATTGGTTGAATGAATGACCTTTTTAACTTTCTACACGTTGATCCTCGACCTTCACCACAGCTTTCCTCATCTTCGTCCTCCCCGCCATCTCTAATTTCCCATCCCATCCCATCCTTTTCCCGCAGCAACATCACAGCCGAGCAGATCCACAGACCTCCATCAGGTGGTTGAACATGGCCAGACACTGAGGAAGGTTCTTGTCTTCTTTCTTCAGCAGCACTTGAATCAGTGGAGGCAGCAGGTTCCAGCCCAAACTCCTGATCAGGTTCTGCACAGAGGGTGATGAAGCCGGGTCATCATCAGCACACCCAACCAAGGACTGGCACCATCTCACAGAAATCTACCTGATTCTTCTCATCCAGCACGATGCTGAGGACCTGTGGACTATGGCCCTCCTCGATGCAGGTCCGTCCAGCCGTGGTGAAGACGTCGTGCTCCTCCGAGCTGTAGCCGTCACCCGGGAGTGCCTGCTGTGTGTAACACACACAGATAAGAGGGAATAAGGGGCTGCTGGGGTTCGGAGAGGAAAGACAAGTGTCGGATTTATTTAACCAGATGAGTCGACGGAGAACTCATTCTCACTTACGCCGACGACCTGGCCCAGAGGCGGCGGCAGGTGAGAGAAAACGGTTAGAATGGTAAACGGTTTGTGTTTGTATGGCATCTTCTTGGGTTCTACAGCCCCCCAAGGCCCTTTACAACACAATCAGTCGTTCACACGCTGGTGGGGATGAGCTACGATGTAGCCACAGCTGCTCTGGGGCGCTCTGACAGAGACGAGGCCAGATGAACGCTTGCGTCGCTGGTCCCTCCGACCACCAGCAGCAGGTAGGGCGGGCTAAGTGTCTTGCCCAAGGGCACAACAGCAGCATTCTCTGGTCGGAGCCGGGATCGAACCTGCAACCTTCTGATTACTGGACAACCTGCTGGGCTGCTGCAGTCCCGGTTAGAAGGCTGTATCTGATCACATTCTGCCCACCATGTCAGACTTCACTGCTTTCTATGAACAACAAACATGTTAGCAACATGCTACATCTACGGCTAAGTAAAGTCACGCTGCCCGCCCGGCTTTTGATTGGGAATGTTCTTCCTTAAAGAAGGGTTTGATCTGAGGGCCAAGGCGCCAACCCTAACCCGACGGAACAAAGCTCCCCTCCACGACTACCCCCAGACAAGACACGGCCCAGGTGGAGTCCAACCAGCACTCGACACCGCTCTCAGCCCTCTCCAGACCACAGAACACACGTGGGCCAGAACATAGAACTCACAGGATCTGAAAACCTCAGCAAAGGTAACCTTCTGGTGCTCTGGTCCATGACCTCCAGCATGCACCTGAGCGCTTCGGCGCTGAGTGACGCAGAGAAAAAGGGAGGGCCGTCTTTGTCTGAGGTGGAGGAGCTCAAACCACCTGTGTCTTGTTCCTGAGTGATGGTAGCACACTGGAGACTAGAGTAGAACCAGCAACGCTACAGATCTCCCTCATCTCGCCCGATTCGGGTGTCGTCGCTTGGTTGCTGTTGTTTGGTAACTTGTATCTCAGATTTTGGTTTGTGTCACTGAACGCTGCACTGGGGCTCCCTGGGCCATTTAGCACAGCGATACTAAAGCTGCACATAGCCATGACTGAGAGCATCCTATCACCCAGCATGACGGTGTGGTATGGCAGCTGCATCGTCCAGAACAAAAAAGACCTGGCCAGGGTGGTGAAAACTGCTCAGTGGATCGTGGGGGGCCCACTACCAGATCTGGACTCTGGAGTATATACCATCCGACTACAAAGGAAGGCTAACCGTATCGCTGCTGATCCCTTCCATCCAGGTCACAAACTGTTGATGCCGCCACCATCGAGGAAGCGGTACAGGAATATCAAGGCCACAACCACCAGGCTGAGGAACAGCTTCTTCCCTAGAGCTGTTAAAGCCACGTGGTGGTGGTGAGGGACAATCTGAACATCAGTGGACAGGTAGGTGGACACACCAGACTCCACTGCCCTGCGTAGCTCGCGCCACTAAGTCACGAGTCAGATGGGTGGAGGGACAGAAACAGCCTCTGGGGCTTTGAGACGCCGGTGTGCAGCAGGAGGGATGACAGGACAACATGAGACTCACACATCTCTGGACCACATCACTGAGCTGCTCCAGAGCCATCGCTGCTGTCCTCGGATCAGCCGGAAACAGAGAGGCACTTCCGTTTGAAACAAGCTAGGTCCGCGCGAGGCCACCGCGAGCCGGAGCTTCAGTCGGAGACGCGAACAGAGCGGGAAGCTTCTGGAATCACAGCAGATAAAAACATCACACAAACCTTTCCTTCATGACCCAAACAAACCACATTTACATCTCCGATGCAGCGCGCCTTCCGGTTTGACCCCCTCAGCTACCGTAGAAACGTCACAGGTCAAAGGTGAACACAGAAGAAACATGGAGCTGGTGGAGAGCAGGAGGAGGAGAGGAGGCTCCACTAAAACCTCCAGGAAAGGTTGGTTTTTAATCCCAATCCAGAGTTTACCGGAAACAGGACAACGTTTTCACCCTCGTTACGTCCGTTCCGTGTTGATTTTCCGGTCCGGTTCGACCCAGCAGTGGAGCTTGTTCCCGTTCCGCTTTCAGCGGGAAGGTGGAACAGACTCGTTCTCTGTAGAAAAGAACCGAAACAAACCTGTCGCGGATCAGAGCTGCTCCTTCTGTAGTTCATCACCCGGTCCTTCTGTAGTTCATCACCCGGTCCTTCTGTAGTTCATCACCCGGTCCTTCTGTAGTTCATCACCAGGTCCTTCTGTAGTTCATCACCCGGTCCTTCTGTAGTTCATCACCAGGTCCAGGTCCTTCTGTAGTTCATCACCCGGTCCTTCTGTAGTTCATCACCAGGTCCAGGTCCTTCTGTAGTTCATCACCCGGTCCTTCTGTAGTTCATCACCAGGTCCTTCTGTAGTTCATCACCAGGTCCAGGTCCTTCTGTAGTTCATCACCCGGTCCTTCTGTAGTTCATCACCAGGTCCTTCTGTAGTTCATCACCAGGTCCAGGTCCTTCTGTAGTTCATCACCCGGTCCTTCTGTAGTTCATCACCAGGTCCTTCTGTAGTTCATCACCAGGTCCTTCTGTAGTTCATCACCAGGTCCAGGTCCTTCTGTAGTTCATCACCAGGTCCTTCTGTAGTTCATCACCCGGTCCTTCTGTAGTTCATCACCAGGTCCTTCTGTAGTTCATCACCAGGTCCTTCTGTAGTTCATCACCAGGTCCTTCTGTAGTTCATCACCAGGTCCTTCTGTAGTTCATCACCCGGTCCTTCTGTAGTTCATCACCCGGTCCTTCTGTAGTTCATCACCAGGTCCTTCTGTAGTTCATCACCCGGTCCTTCTGTAGTTCATCACCAGGTCCTTCTGTAGTTCATCACCAGGTCCTTCTGTAGTTCATCACCAGGTCCAGGTCCTTCTGTAGTTCATTACCTGGTCCTTCTGTAGTTCATCACCAGGTCCTTCTGTAGTTCATCACCCGGTCCTTCTGTAGTTCATCACCCGGTCCTTCTGTAGTTCATCACCAGGTCCTTCTGTAGTTCATCACCAGGTCCTTCTGTAGTTCATCACCTGGTCCTTCTGTAGTTCATCACCAGGTCCTTCTGTAGTTCATCACCTGGTCCTTCTGTAGTTCATCACCAGGTCCAGGTCCTTCTGTAGTTCATCACCTGGTCCTTCTGTAGTTCATCACCAGGTCCTTCTGTAGTTCATCACCAGGTCCAGGTCCTTCTGTAGTTCATCACCAGGTCCTTCTGTAGTTCATCACCAGGTCCTTCTGTAGTTCATCACCTGGTCCTTCTGTAGTTCATCACCTGGTCCTTCTGTAGTTCATCACCAGGTCCTTCTGTAGTTCATCACCTGGTCCTTCTGTAGTTCATCACCAGGTCCTTCTGTAGTTCATCACCTGGTCCAGGTCCTTCTGTAGTTCATCACCTGGTCCTTCTGTAGTTCATCACCAGGTCCTTCTGTAGTTCATCACCAGGTCCTTCTGTAGTTCATCACCAGGTCCTTCTGTAGTTCATCACCTGGTCCAGGTCCTTCTGTAGTTCATCACCTGGTCCTTCTGTAGTTCATCACCAGGTCCTTCTGTAGTTCATCACCTGGTCCAGGTCCTTCTGTAGTTCATCACCAGGTCCTTCTGTAGTTCATCACCAGGTCCTTCTGTAGTTCATCACCTGGTTCTTCTGTAGTTCATCACCTGGTCCTTCTGTAGTTCATCACCAGGTCCTTCTGTAGTTCATCACCCGGTCCTTCTGTAGTTCATCACCTGGTCCTTCTGTAGTTCATCACCTGGTCCTTCTGTAGTTCATAACCTGGTCCTTCTGTAGTTCATCACCAGGTCCTTCTGTAGTTCATCACCAGGTCCAGGTCCTTCTGTAGTTCATCACCAGGTCCTTCTGTAGTTCATCACCAGGTCCTTCTGTAGTTCATCACCAGGTCCTTCTGTAGTTCATCACCTGGTCCTTCTGTAGTTCATCACCTGGTCCTTCTGTAGTTCATCACCAGGTCCTTCTGTAGTTCATCACCAGGTCCTTCTGTAGTTCATCACCAGGTCCTTCTGTAGTTCATCACCAGGTCCTTCTGTAGTTCATCACCAGGTCCAGGTCCTTCTGTAGTTCATCACCTGGTCCTTCTGTAGTTCATCACCAGGTCCTTCTGTAGTTCATCACCAGGTCCTTCTGTAGTTCATCACCAGGTCCTTCTGTAGTTCATCACCCGGTCCTTCTGTAGTTCATCACCCGGTCCTTCTGTAGTTCATCACCAGGTCCTTCTGTAGTTCATCACCAGGTCCTTCTGTAGTTCATCACCAGGTCCTTCTGTAGTTCATCACCTGGTCCTTCTGTAGTTCATCACCAGGTCCTTCTGTAGTTCATCACCAGGTCCTTCTGTAGTTCATCACCTGGTCCTTCTGTAGTTCATCACCAGGTCCTTCTGTAGTTCATCACCAGGTCCTTCTGTAGTTCATCACCAGGTCCAGGTCCTTCTGTAGTTCATCACCAGGTCCTTCTGTAGTTCATCACCAGGTCCTTCTGTAGTTCATCACCAGGTCCTTCTGTAGTTCATCACCAGGTCCTTCTGTAGTTCATCACCCGGTCCTTCTGTAGTTCATCACCCGGTCCTTCTGTAGTTCATCACCAGGTCCTTCTGTAGTTCATCACCAGGTCCTTCTGTAGTTCATCACCAGGTCCTTCTGTAGTTCATCACCTGGTCCTTCTGTAGTTCATCACCAGGTCCTTCTGTAGTTCATCACCCGGTCCTTCTGTAGTTCATCACCAGGTCCTTCTGTAGTTCATCACCAGGTCCTTCTGTAGTTCATCACCTGGTCCTTCTGTAGTTCATCACCAGGTCCTTCTGTAGTTCATCACCTGGTCCTTCTGTAGTTCATCACCTGGTCCTTCTGTAGTTCATCACCTGGTCCTTCTGTAGTTCATCACCAGGTCCTTCTGTAGTTCATCACCAGGTCCTTCTGTAGTTCATCACCAGGTCCTTCTGTAGTTCATCACCACGTCCTTCTGTAGTTCATCACCTGGTCCTTCTGTAGTTCATCACCTGGTCCTTCTGTAGTTCATCACCAGGTCCTTCTGTAGTTCATCACCAGGTCCAGGTCCTTCTGTAGTTCATCACCAGGTCCTTCTGTAGTTCATCACCAGGTCCTTCTGTAGTTCATCACCTGGTCCTTCTGTAGTTCATCACCTGGTCCTTCTGTAGTTCATCACCAGGTCCTTCTGTAGTTCATCACCAGGTCCAGGTCCTTCTGTAGTTCATCACCACGTCCTTCTGTAGTTCATCACCAGGTCCTTCTGTAGTTCATCACCTGGTCCTTCTGTAGTTCATCACCTGGTCCTTCTGTAGTTCATCACCAGGTCCTTCTGTAGTTCATCACCTGGTCCTTCTGTAGTTCATCACCTGGTCCTTCTGTAGTTCATCACCTGGTCCTTCTGTAGTTCATCACCAGGTCCTTCTGTAGTTCATCACCAGGTCCAGGTCCTTCTGTAGTTCATCACCAGGTCCTTCTGTAGTTCATGACCACGTCCTTCTGTAGTTCATCACCAGGTCCTTCTGTAGTTCATCACCCGGTCCTTCTGTAGTTCATCACCAGGTCCTTCTGTAGTTCATCACCAGGTCCTTCTGTAGTTCATCACCAGGTCCTTCTGTAGTTCATCACCTGGTCCTTCTGTAGTTCATCACCAGGTCCTTCTGTAGTTCATCACCCGGTCCTTCTGTAGTTCATCACCAGGTCCTTCTGTAGTTCATCACCAGGTCCTTCTGTAGTTCATCACCTGGTCCTTCTGTAGTTCATCACCTGGTCCTTCTGTAGTTCATCACCAGGTCCTTCTGTAGTTCATCACCTGGTCCTTCTGTAGTTCATCACCTGGTCCTTCTGTAGTTCATCACCTGGTCCTTCTGTAGTTCATCACCAGGTCCTTCTGTAGTTCATCACCAGGTCCAGGTCCTTCTGTAGTTCATCACCAGGTCCTTCTGTAGTTCATCACCACGTCCTTCTGTAGTTCATCACCAGGTCCTTCTGTAGTTCATCACCTGGTCCTTCTGTAGTTCATCACCTGGTCCTTCTGTAGTTCATCACCAGGTCCTTCTGTAGTTCATCACCTGGTCCTTCTGTAGTTCATCACCTGGTCCTTCTGTAGTTCATCACCTGGTCCTTCTGTAGTTCATCACCTGGTCCTTCTGTAGTTCATCACCAGGTCCTTCTGTAGTTCATCACCAGGTCCAGGTCCTTCTGTAGTTCATCACCAGGTCCTTCTGTAGTTCATGACCACGTCCTTCTGTAGTTCATCACCAGGTCCTTCTGTAGTTCATCACCCGGTCCTTCTGTAGTTCATCACCAGGTCCTTCTGTAGTTCATCACCAGGTCCTTCTGTAGTTTATCACCAGGTCCTTCTGTAGTTCATCACCTGGTCCTTCTGTAGTTCATCACCAGGTCCTTCTGTAGTTCATCACCCGGTCCTTCTGTAGTTCATCACCAGGTCCTTCTGTAGTTCATCACCAGGTCCTTCTGTAGTTCATCACCTGGTCCTTCTGTAGTTCATCACCAGGTCCTTCTGTAGTTCATCACCAGGTCCTTCTGTAGTTCATCACCTGGTCCTTCTGTAGTTCATCACCTGGTCCTTCTGTAGTTCATCACCTGGTCCTTCTGTAGTTCATCACCAGGTCCTTCTGTAGTTCATCACCAGGTCCAGGTCCTTCTGTAGTTCATCACCAGGTCCTTCTGTAGTTCATCACCAGGTCCTTCTGTAGTTCATCACCACGTCCTTCTGTAGTTCATCACCAGGTCCTTCTGTAGTTCATCACCAGGTCCTTCTGTAGTTCATCACCAGCTCGCAGCAGAAGTGTCAGAGCAAAGCTTGGGAAGCCGCTCACTTCTCCAGGTTTCAGCACCTTAGAGGACCTCTCAGGAAACGGCTTGGTCCAGTTTGTGAAATAAATGATTAAAACGTTCATTCTGTGTTCACTGCTGTGGTCTCAGCCACCTCTCCTGATGAGGTTGTATCAATTAACCGGTTTCCTTTAATCCAAACCAAGATGTCTTTGCTTCCACAAAGACTTTATCTTCTGTCTGACCTCACGAGAACAAGAGCAGCACGCCTGTAGATCTGCCCTCGTTCATCGTGTAGATGATCGGTAATCATTCGTTCTACTGGCGACAACATTTTTGTGTTTGTTTTACTACTCCTGACCGTGTGTGTGTGTGTGTGTGTGTGTGTGTGTGTGTGTGTGTGTGTGTGTGTGTGACAGGTGGGAAACCCCATCCAGCTCTGACGGCTGAAGAAGAGGCTCGAAGGTCTAGAACGTGTTCTTCTTGGTGGACGTGTGCACGAAGCCTTCTGGTGTCTAACATGAGTCTGTGTCTCGGTCAGGAGGGAGGTGGTGCGGGAGAGGCTGGAGCTGGAGAGAAGAGCCGTGAAGGTGGTGGAGCGCCTCCTTGAGAGCAACGTGTCAGAGGACGTCCTGGTTGACTGTGTACATGTTTTTGTTGTTTATGCACATAAACAATGATGTTTTCCATCTTCCCCTCTCGCTGCCCCTCATCCGGGACTGGGGCCTGTAACTGGGCTCCCAGACGGGTCAGTTCCCAGTCCAGACTTGAGCCCATCCTGGGTTCTCCATCCGACAGGACATGTCTGATTGGCTGTGAAAGCAGATGATTTCTGCTGCTTGTATTCGGTCTTGGCTCTCCTCACAACATCACTGACCCCTGAAAGTAAAACGAAGCCACTGAGGCTAAGATGACGTTACGGAAACGGTTTGTTGTGTTTTTACAGGCCAGGCTCATCACCGCAGCTAACTACAGAGATGCTGTGGAGGAGAGGTTCCTGGCTAAGCTGTGTGGTTATCCTCTTTGTTCAACAAAACTGGGCAAGGTCACTGAAGCATAAAAACTCCTAAGCCTCCATGTTTGCTTCCTTAAACTGTCTCACACACACACACACCTTGTTTTTCAGATCCCCACACAGCGGTACAAAATATCCACTCAGTCAAACCGAGTTTATGACATCACAGAACGGAAGGTGGGTGCTTTCAGGTGCAGCTCTAATGTTCCGTCTGCATGTTGACGTATTTTTGTATTTGTAGTGTTTTTGTAGCAACTTCTGCTACAAGGCGTCTAAAGAGTTTGAGCTTCAGATATCGACGACTCCTCTTTGGCTCCGGCATCATGAGAGGTGTGCTGCTGGTCTTCCTGTACAGCTTCAGTACACACCAGCAGATACTAACCGTGTGTCTTCTGTTACTGACAGTCCTCCAGAAGTCACGCTGCTAAAGCCAGGAGACCGGTATGTCCTTTGGTTTTCTTTGTTACTCTGAACAAAAGCAAACGACGACACTTTTATGTTTGTCTCTTCAGAATCTTTAAAGGGACTTTACAGAGTTTTGAATTTTTATGCTCGCGATCGCCCCCTCAGGCCAAAAGCGTAACAGCAGCTTCAATAGTAGAGGCGTGCATGCTGTACGTGCACACTCCTTAACGAAAATAACAGCTGAGACAGTCCTGTGTGTGTGTGTGTGTGTGTGTGTGTGTGTGTGTGTGTGTGTGTGTGTGTGTGGCCCAGAGGACAGGAGAACGTGCAGCTAATTAATTAAATAATGTGGTTCTGTAGCTTTCTCTTCAGCACAGCCGACAAAGGTTTATGATGGGTCAGTCCTCCTGCATGCTCAGATCATTCCCTTCCCTTGCTTGAAAAATTGTTCCCAAATGAAAGTTGAACCCACATCTTTTTTATCTGTGAATTCAATACCGTTCGGCGAGTCTCAAATAAAAATTTGGGCATCTTACTGTAAAAAAATATACCATTAATGTAGTAAAAAATAATCTATGTTCACATCCGGAATCAAACCCGGGTCTTCTGCACGAGAGTTCAACATCTCACTAGGTGAGCTAGAGCACCACTGATGTCTTTGTATCTGTAACATTTATATCCTTGATGACAGCTGAAACAAAGAACGGCTCAGAGTGAAAATGGCTATTTTGTTGCTAATTAGCAGGAAATATCTAGAAGAAAGTTCTACAGAAAGTAGCTAAGGGTCCTCAGAAATGTAGCTAGCTTTGTCACTAGGCGTTAGGAACAGCGACAAAGTGGCACTGCCTCTCTCTCTGCTGCTAAAGCTACGGATAGCAAATGCTACGGGCGATGCCTGAGCGTGAACGCGCATGAAGCAGCCTGCTCGACCCGAGCATCTCTCTTTTTCTGTGATTTTACAGAAAAACAGGCAATCACAGTAAAAATGCCAGGGCTCATTCTACAGGACCAGGGCATTGCAGGAGAACGTATGAAGAAGACATTTATTATTTCTATACATGTTTTGGCTGTCACACTTCCATGATGCACCTTTAACTAACATCTATTGGTGAGCATCCTATTCACCACACTTTACTGGTCAGACCAACCCACGAGGAATCTGGTGTTCTGGCTGTGTCCTGCAGACTCCTCCTGAAGTGCTCCAGCATGTAGATTTAAAGACTCATCACGTTTTTATCCTGCGAGCAGCTCTATAGCGCCTTCTAGAGTCCTGGAACCCCCCAAGGCCCTTTACAACACAATCAGTCATTCACCTATTCACACCCTGGTGGTGATGAGCTACGATGTAGCTACAGCTGCCCTGTTAGGGTTAGGGGTTTGTCCACGTTGTTCTACGTGGGGGTTTCCACCCAGCTGGTGCCAGAGCCGATGCTGTGCAGGTTCTAAGCTGGTTCTTTTAAAGACTCGGTTCCCATCCCACAGACTGAGGACTTAGTTGCTGCTGTCATGATGTCGACCAAGTCTTAGGTGAGTTCTTGCTGTGTCGTATTTGCGGCTGCCGCAAACGAAACGTAGCGCAGGTAACAAAACTGTTCTGTGTTTTAAAAGAACTACAGCATGGAATGTCGACCAAGTGTTGAGACACACCCACATATACGCCTGCATGAGGACAGAGCACGTCTTTCTTGACTTCTGATTAACAACGTGTAACAAGAAATCTATAGAAACTCCATGAATAACTCAGAATAGAGTATAATCCCTCCGAGGGGAGATGTTAGCATAACGACAGCCATTAATTCTATTCAGTTTATTTTAATAGAGCCAAGGCTCTTCACACAATAAACATCCCAATCCAGGTCAGGTCGTTAAGCCAATCAGTAACAAGTTTCCTGTCTGAGGAACCCAGCAGGTCGCATCGAGTCACTGACTAGTGTCAGAGTCTTTACAGCAATCCTCATACTAAACAAGCATGCAGCGACAGTGGAGAGGAAAACTCCCTTTTAACAGGACTCCAGAGGATCCTGGCTCAGTATAAGCAGCCATCCTCCACGACTCATGACTCATTTCTGCTCCATCAGCTCCACAAGGGAGAGGCACTGACAGACGTTTTGCATTCGGGCCGCCCCGTCCGCTGGGGATTGGTGCAAAACAACTCCCCGCCAGCACAACAGAGGGCAAAGCGCTGCGCTGAGCTTTGCTTCCACCATTTCAGTCACGTATCCGGTCCAAGATGGCGTATCTACTACTGTGTTTACATTGTTTTAATGTTTTTCTGAGACTTTTAACAAATTAGTCCCCCATACGCTTCTTTATGCGATCGGCACCTCTAAACTCGCGTATCTCGTCATTTCTGTCCACGAATAAACGTTCATATTTTCACACTTCCTCCACTACGGATTCTTCAATTTGTTTCGTGTCTGCCGCTAAATATCTTCTCACTTTTTGAGGGAGCCCAAGTCACGTCCATCTACGTCCGGACCCGGGGTCGCCGGCAGAATGAAAGAATGAATGCAAGAAAACGCTGTTTTCTAACTGCCTGTTTTGTGCCGTGGATTTCACACATGATGTCCGTGAATTTTAAAGATGCAGTTTGACACCAAGAAAGAGCTTATTTTCAAACGGGGCCAGCTCTGGGCCAGATCCGAGTGTGCTGAGTTTGGTACTTGCATTATTTATTAATGCTTCATCGGACTACAGACCTTCAGTGCAACAGTTATTGTGTAGAGGATCACAGCGTAGGGAGACAGTTCATCCACATAGATCTTAGGCTCGTTGTTCCTGAATGTAGATGTTTGAGTTTTATAGACTCGGGCTTTTGTTTGCAGAAGCTCATTTTACATCTCTGATGAGTGTTTGAAGAGGACTCACTCACAACCGTGAACTATAAACACCAGCTGGTGGTGCTAAACAGCTGATGTTTATCATTGAAGACGGTGGCTGAGGTAGCTCTAGGTGCTGCTCTGAACCAGCAGCAGGACGATGGAAGACGCCGGAGGATTTTGTCTTTACATTAATAATCAGAGTAAAGGTGAATCGATGGGTGTTTCTCACTGTCAAGGGACCTTGCCTTGATGTCTTGGCCCCGCCCCGGTTGCCTAGGAGATACGTCATCAGGAGCCGCCAAGACATGTTCCAGTCGGTTCCAATGTTCATGTTCTACCGAGGCGTTTGTTAGCCGTTTAGCTAGCTGAGCAAGGACACACGGGAGGTGTCTTGTAGCCTAGCCTTGGTCAAAAATTACCCAGAATACACCGCCATATTTTCTAAAGGACGGCGGATCAGAAGCCGGCAGCTACTTCAGGGACAATTTTCAAGTTTAAAAGTAAGTCAGCTCATTTAAAATGTTTTTCCTTTTAGGTCTAAAGAAGTTATCTATGGTTGGTTAGTTGCTTAGTAGTTGCAGCTTCGGTGGCTAGCGGGTAGTAACTCACTTATATGTTTAATTTAATAAACATATACACAATTTAAAAACTCGTTATATATTTATATTGAAACTATTACGTATAAAATATAACGTTATCTCCCGTGTCACGTGACGCTACGTGACCCCCGTGGAAGCCGCGGTCACGAGATGCAAGTCTGTTCCATTTAACCGTTTTCTTTGACCAAGGAAGGACCGTGTCCTCGTGAGCAAGGCGCCTGGCATTGAGAAACACCCTAGCTTAGAGGTTCTAAATGCTTTCATTGGTCGTTGGTCTCCCTGACCCCGCCCCCAGCTTCTGAAACATGTTCGATAAATAAAATGATAATGAGAACAAACATGAATTATGTTTAGTTATAAACAATGGTGTGGGTGTGGGTGTGTGTGTGTGGGTGTGTGTGGGTGTGTGTGTGTGTGTGTGTGTGTGTGTGGGTGTGTGTGTGTGTGTGTGTGTGTGTGTGTGTGGGTTTGCGTGCGTGTGTGTGTGTGGGTGTGGGTGTGTGTGTGTGTGGGTGTGTGTGTGTGTGTGTGTGTGTGTGTGTGTGTGTGTGTGTGTGTGTGTGGGTTTGCGTGCGTGTGTGGGTGTGGGTGTGTGTGTGTGTGTGTGTGTGTGTGGGTGTGTGTGTGGGTGTGTGTGTGTGTGTGTGTGTGTGTGGGTTTGCGTGCGTGTGTGTGTGTGGGTGTGGGTGTGGGTGTGTGTGTGTGTGTGTGTGTGGGTTTGCGTGCGTGTGTGTGTGTGTGTGTGTGTGTGGGTTTGCGTGCGTGTGTGTGTGTGGACACACCCCCTTCTTCCTCCCCAGTGGGCGCTATGGTGAGGAGGTGATGCTGTTGGAGAGGAGCCTCAGAGAAGACGACATCGAGAACCCACAAGCTTCTCCTCTTGAGGACCGTCCCGGCTCCCAGCAGATACCTTCAGGAGGTGATCACGGCGACGGCAGTGAGCAGGAGTTTGTCTCCAGTGTGCTCTCCCAGCAGCAGAGACCCAGGGTGCACTGGGGTGACCCCCCTAAGCCCTCAGATGAAGGAGAGCTAAGGAGGAAGCTGAGGAGAGGACTTCAAAGTGAACGTTCCAGGGAAACGGGAAACTCAAAAGAGGAAGAAGAACCAGAAGAAGAGGATGAAAGAAAAGAGCCAGCTGCTGAAGAACTAGACACTTCAGATTCTGGTTCGTCTCTTTGTGAGGATCAACATTTACCCGAGGACCGAGGTGTGAAAGAGGCCAGAGGCAGGGTGAAAGGGTGTAGTTTATCAGAGATGGTCGCTTCCACCAGCTCTCTGTCAGAACACACACCTTCACACACCTCTCCTCCTCCTCCTCCTCCTACAGGAACAGAAACCCCAGCAGAAACCAAACATGGCCACCACAATGCAGCTTCATCAAACCAACCGGGTCTCAGCATCACCCAGGTGGGCGTGAGCAGGAGAGGAGCGGTCGGGCTGAGAGATCTGCTGAAGAACCACACCGGAGAACCTGACTCTGTTCCACTGAGTCTTCTCAAGTATCTGAAGAGAACGCTGAAGGAGTGGTGCACCGAGGAGACGCTCAAGTTCCTGTACGGTGCTGGTCATTCACTGGTCTCCACTTCCTCTAGTGAAGAGGTAGAACAGGAGGAGTTAGATGAAGATGATCTTGAGGATGAGGACGACGTGATGGCGGCTGAACAGAAGAGGCCCTCGGCTCCTGTACCCGACTGTAAGACTCTCCAGAAGGAGACTGAGCAGCTGGAGTTCAGAGTTCGAGAGTTTTACAGAGGGAGGTGGATTCATCTGGAGAAGGAAGAGGAGGAGAACAGGAACGAGGTGAGGAGGAGAAGGGTTGGTGTGTTTCCTGGTAGTCCACTACACGACTCACTGTTAGGATGATGACCAAAACTCAGTTGGCCTCAGGTTAGCATGTAGGTAATGTCCCGCTGATCTCCAGCTGTGGAGAACGAGCTGATCAGAAAGGCCAGGGCTCCCGGTCATGTCATTTGGAATCATAGTATGTCCAAGGAAGGTCTTTGTTGTGATATGAAGTTTGTATATTTATATACTGCAATTAAATAATTTAATTACCTGATCTTGTATATTTATACAATCTACATAATCAATCAGAAGTGGTCGTTTTTATCATCAGGGAGTTTACTTCAACACTCTGTATTGACTGAGAGACGAGAAAGAGAGAAAGTTGGGATCGTTTAAGAATCTTTAATTTCTATAATTATAAATTCTTACAATCTACCAGGACTATCTCAATGATGGATGCATATGGATGTAGATGGTTCGGGTTGGTGTGTGTGTGTGTGTTTTGTTCAGAATCTCTAGGCTGAGTAGCGAATCTGGTTTGTTTTGACTAGGCTACCACGAGGCTTCAGAAGCTGATGACATGAGCCGCCATTTGCCGTATTTACGTACCCAGTAAGAGCCTCCCGTGTAGATCAGGAATTGCCAGGTCTCGGACCTTCGGCGATACTGGAGCTGGTTGAAACAGCGGTCACAGTAAACAACGCCCGTCTGAAGGGTCGACTCAGGTGAAGCGGCAGGCGTCAACAAGTTCACTCTTATTTTGAAGGACCGTCGTCTCGTTGGTAAAAACGACGGAAAATCTCCCGCTTGACAGATTTCAGCTCAAAGTAGGAAGTCCAGCTGGCCAGTCTGAACTTCTTAATGATGACGATGGAAATCCTTAGGAACTCGGATGTCCTGGAGCTGAGTTTAATACGTAACTGCTGAAAGTGGAACGTAACGTGGAACTGACTTAAAATGGCGTTGCCTTCTTTTTATATCTCCCAGTTGTTTGGGAATCTTAGTAAACCGGATTGGACGACTTTCATAAACAAACCAGATTCTGCCCTACCACAGACGAAAGTTCTGATTGGTTGAAAACAATGTGTCATGCGTTTCCATGGTAATGCATATCAGTGTGTCTGGGCAGCCCTGTTTATTCATTTAAACACATAACTCATGACATCTTTATTTCACAGATCATTCACTTGATTATTAATGATCAACAAATGCTTTGATTAGCTTATCACAAATGAAGTACTTTGATTAACCCATGAAAAGCGTTCTTCTTCTGTTCTTCTGTCTCTTCTCCTGGAATGTAAACATACTGAACCAAGCGTCCGACCTTGGCGGTGTTACTGTGTGAAGGGGCAGCTGTTAAGTGCAGACCATCATGAATTCTCTAACGCTACACATCCCCCCTTTTCAAGGTCAATGTGGTCCTGCAAGAGACCACTTTTTACACAGTCTGAGCATTAAGTTCAGAGTTTCTCTACAAAACTCCCCAAAACAGCCTTCTGTTGGTGCCGATGGCAGGAGAACAGTCTGCACTTAGCATGGGAAGATCTTCCTTGGACATCCTACGATTCTAATTAATGCCTCCAGCATGTCTGCTGCCACCGAGAACCGGGAACATCCTGCTCTAGCAACTCGTCTCGCGCATCCGCTCACGTTTCTTATCCAGCCAGAAGCCCCTCTAGCATGTCTGACCAAGCAGTGAAATGACAGCATCTCCCCTGTCCCAACTAAATCAAGTAGAGAAATATAATTTTACTTACTGATAAAAAGAAGCATAAACTGCCCGGATGATCTAGTCAGTAACCACAGCTTGCCCTCTGTGTCCAACTAATCCCAGGATTAACATCCAAACACGAACACACAGAGGACCAAGCTAAAGCTCAGAGAGTCAAAATGGCCGAACATCTATTAGCCTGAGGCCGAGGCCTTTCCCCGGAGCTAGCTCTTCGGTCACGTGGCTCGGGTGCTCATTAATTATTCAGAATTTAAAGCATTTAATACACTTAAACAGAAGAGTTACTAAATAATCCACCCCCCCTCAGAGTGGTCATGAGTGTAAACTAGATCTATTAAACCTAGAATGGTTTCTGAACCAGGCTGTAAACATGTTTACTTCTGCTGTCAAGTTGGCTTTTTTATATGGGAGTCAATGAGGATCTGCTCACTTCTGCTGCCAGCCCCTAGTGGACGAGGGTGGAACTGCAATAGTAGCCACTTCCTTGGCTCCAAACCTAAAGAGCGTAATGTTCCCTCGAGCTTTACAAACAGAAACAGTTTCCTCCTGCAGCTTTTCCCAGCAGTCCTCAGCCTTTTCGGATCATCCTGTCATGACCTTTGACCTTTAACCGAGCGGCAGCTGTGTGAACATTTGTTGATGTTTTGTGGTTTTTCAACGCAGCCTTTTTCCTCACAGCAGGTGGAAGTTCTGGACCGGACCAGGAAGGATCCAGTTCTGCCGCTGATCGACTTCAACGCTCAGAACCTCATTCAGACAAAGATCACCGTGGAGAAGCTCAGCAGCTGGTGTGTGTGTGTGTTTTATAGGGGCCCTGTGGCTCCGCCCCCTCCGGTCGGCTCTTGGGTCTCTGAACGGGGCCATAAAAGTCGTTTTCTAGTCCGCTTTGCCTCCCGCCCTGAATCACACAAATTTTGTACTTCAGTTCAAATCAAACGTAACGATGTGAGTTTTAACCACGTCGGTCGTGCACTTTGAGATTCATCAGCCTGTCGTGCACTTTGAGATTCATCAGCCTGTCGTGCACTTTGAGATTCATCAGCTTGTCAGTATTCATAATTGAGACGACGTGGCATATATGACATCACCACAGAGCCCCTCCTCCCCCAGCGTGGCTGCTGCTGACCACATGGCCAGATTCATGGTGGTTTTCTCCATGTTGAATGCTGCTTCTGGGGGAAGAACCCAAACTCGCTATAGTATTCTCCTCTTCTCTGCGTCTGGTTCCATGATGCCAGCTTGGTGAGACGAACGTTTGAAGTTCTGGACATCATTTTGCACAAAACCTAAAAATGATGTTGGTCCTCGTTTAAAAGAAGCGCCATCTTGGCATCAACATGTGCCTTTAGATTCCACAGACGTCTATGTGAGTCCATGGCACACACCGAGGATTAGAAAAGGCTCTTTAATTCAGTGTTTCCCTTTGCCGACTGGAAAGGAAGGGCTCCCTGTTGACATCTGTGGATCTAGCTTAGCAGTCTGAAGAGCCACAACTGTTTCAAGAGACTATTTATCATTTTGAGGAATATCTACGGAAGAGCGTGAGGGCCACTGGAAACGGTTATTTGTTGGCCTACACAACCATCTGATGACTCGATCTGTGCTCTGCAGCCTCAGAGACATCGTGGGTACACTCGGCCTCTCCATGAGCGACGTCTGCACCGAGTTGAACAACCTGGTCAGAACATTCAGGTCAGAACATCTCACACACACACACACACACAAACTGGTCACAGGTGTAGGCTGTGGTGCTGAATCCAGGCTCAGGTGGGCTAAAGCCTGATTTATACTTCTCCGTCTGCGTTGGTGCGGAAACGTGCGACGCCATCATGCGGCGGCGCAGGGCTCTGACGGGCTCACAGAGGGTGACGGAGACGTGTCCACACTTAAACATCCGTCAAGTGAAGGAGACCGCAAGCTTGTGATTGGTCAGGACGCCACTTCCTGTAAATTTGTAAAACAATCGATGCATTAGGATGCGGACATGAACAGTTATGAATCATCGAAGAAGCACACCATAGGGAGCCCAAGTCCCGCCCATCTACTTCCGCAGCACGGGTCCCCAGAGGCACAAGTCCACGAGGCTAAAAACACTATTTTCTAATCCCGCTTGTTATGTTCCAGGGATTTCACATGTGAAGTCCGAGATTTTTAAAGACGCATTTCGATACCAAGAACAAGCTTATTTTCAGACAGGGAGTAATGCTATTTTAGCGGGGTATCCGCGGGTCCTTAAAAAGTCCTTAAAAAGTCTGAAATTAGCTTTTCCAAATTTAAGGCCCTAAAAATCCTTAAAAATGACAAATAATCTTTAATACAGTTTCCAAAGGTCTTAAATGACCAAAGACCCAATAAACAAGATTATTTAATTTCTGTAAAATTTTCATGAATTTCTAGTTAGTGTTCAGCATTTTATGCGTACGATGTTGCCGTAAGCGGAACCGTACACATTCAGTTGGTTGTGAAAGGGGGTTATTTTTAGATGAGCACATTAGCTGGTTAAGCTAGCGGGAGCTTGCGCCATGGGGAAGTGCAAGTTTAATGGTAACTGGATGGCTAATCCCACGTTCGCTACGTGGTTAGCACCGGTTCCAGGCAATAGCTGGAAATTATAGCTTAAATTTAATTTTAAAAATAGCTTAAATTTCGTCAAAGTGGCCTTAAAAATGTCTTAAAAAGTCTTAAATTTGGCTCCCTTAAACCTGCAGGTAACCTGTTTAGGTTTTGTGTGAAAATAAGTCCAGAATAGGGCTGCAACAAACGATTATTTGGATAATCGATTAATCGGATGGGGTCTCGACACGATTAATCGATTAATCGGATTACATGGGGAAATTTTTAAAAACTGCTAGGGAAATGTTATTTCTCTCCTTCCTTCACTTTATTTAACACAACATTATTAGAAAACAGTTCAATAGCAGAAAAACAACATGCCATCACCTAAATTGTCTTATAAGGTGCATAGACAGAGACCCTAAGCTACACCTATCTGTGACCTAAAATGCTTGGTCCAAGTTAAACAGCTTAAGGGCAATTCTCATGTGTTTTGTTTGATCTCATCTGTTGACATTTATTTTAAATGTAATTAAACATAGGCTGTGAATTAATCAAAATTGATCACTATTTCCAAAAATGACTGAAAAAATACCAAATAAAGCAAAAGCAAATGAATGCCATCCTCCTTGCGATGATGCCCTGGGCAACTGCCATAAAGTCACATCAAGAAATGCTGCTGATCATTCCAATGATCCCAAATAGACTCACATTAGGCCACATGAAAGCAACTGAACCCAAAAATATATTAACCAGTATATAACTGCACTCTCACACAACACGCCTGCAGCAACAGTTAGGACTCCTCCCCCCCTTTTAAAAGCGTTTTTGCTTCTGAGGACATTGTGGTTGTAAAACCACACGCTAGTAGTCTGGCCCCGGTGTGATCAACCAGTTTCTGTGGGAATGTGACGGCGGAACCAGGGCCAGATTAACACTTTGTTGTACCCTGGGCAACAATATTCAAGGGCTCCATCATCACGACCCGAGGATCACCATAATGTGGTCACATACAGAATATTTTACTGTAATATGCAGTAAATATACTCAATACTTGAATGCCTGACAACACGTAACCCGCCCAGGGTAACCTTTGACCCACCTTGTGTGGACTGACCAATGAGGAGAGGGTCTTAACTTGAGGCCCTCTCTTCATTGGTCAGTCTGCATGAGACTGACTCTCAACTGACGTTCAGTCATAGGCAGCGAAGCGTCTCTGTGCAGCGCAAACGCCCGGGTGGACAGTTTGTTTAATGTAGGGTGATCATATTTCCATTTCCAAACAAGAGGACAGGGGATCTGTGCCTATGACGTCACACTATGGCAACGCCACACAAACCATGTTGGGACCCATTTTTTGTAAGAACTAAATTAATATCAGATTCTGCCAATAAAAGGGCTCTAAAACAATTCATATGTAAATATTTTGCATATTTAATGCAAAATCTCCTTTTTCTGCTTTAGTGCTGCAACAAGGTTTTATTAATAATAAATTATTATACCTTTTGTTTTACTACATCATCGGTACGCTTCCTGTGCACAGATTATTAAGGATGCTTGTTTCAGCTGTGAGATTAGACGATGGGATCAATGATCAAATAAGTTGTCACACACTCCATGGAAACTTTCAGAGAATCCACAAAAAGTGGCTTTCAGATGGTTTTGTTACTTTTAAAAAGTTAAGAAAAGCAGCAGATGAGACAGCATGTCTGATAATTTAGTTTTTCATCTGATAATATTAGAACATGTCAGTCATGTCTGAGGGGCTTTTATAAACACCGTATAACTAACACTACTGGAGAGGGCATGAATTACACAGAGGCTTCTGGGGAGCCCAGTTATGGGGGGGGGGGCATTTTGCTTTGGCCCCCAAAATGTCTTGAAACGGCCCTGGGTGTGTGACTGAGTTTTGAAGGTGATCTGAATTGTATCAGATGTGTAAATATGACATGTGTATAACTTATTGTTTTTTACTGGTAAAAACGTGTCGTGGAGATAAATCTACCTACATTTTACTTTTCAACACTTTGTTTTGTTTTCTTGTTTTTATTGAACTATTTTCCTGTCCTGTCTGTCTCTCATCTTCCTGCATCTCCTCTTAATTCTCCAGAAAAACTGCTGCCTGGATTCTTACCTTTTCACCTCATCAGTTACTTTTGAGCAGATCAAAGGGATCTCCTGACCGAAAAGCGCAGAGCGCGATTCGATGCTGCGTGAGGTGACATCACCACAGCACAGGTGATGAGCTCCGCAGTAGAGCGCTTCAGGCACAAATAAGACAAAATAGAGAACATGTGCGGACATGAACGATCGTGTGCTAATTATAGTTTTTTGGTTGAACCACTTTGAGAATGGACCGTGCGCTGGACGCAGCTGCCTGGATCGCTGTGCAACAATGCCGAACCGGTTCGCAGCAGCGCAAGTCTGCCGGCTCTCCCTCGCGCTGATCTGACTTGCTCTGGTCTGCGCGCAATGGCGGGCGGGAAGGGGGGGCGCTTTTGGAAGAGTTGTGCGACACAACGAATCGATGACGCAATTCGTTGCCAACGCTTTTAGTAATCGATTTTCATCGAATTTATCGATTCGTTGTTGCAGCCCTACTCCAGAACTATAAATGTTCTTCACCAAAGTGATGATAAAAGGTTGTGTGTTTATATTGTGTTTTTTGTATATAAGAGACTTTTTAACAGACACATTTATCTCTCATCCTCCTCCACCTCTTCATACGCTCGCCACCTCTAAACCCACGTTTCCTGTCGTTTCCGTCCACAAATAAAACGCTTGCTGCGTCTTTTCACTCCTCCAGTCACGGGGGAATTAAACGTTCATATTTTAGAGTTCTTTCTTGAGGTTTTCTTCAAGCTTCTCCGTGTCTGCCGCTAGTTATCCTCGGCTCTCTTTATGTTTTTGAGGGTGTAATGGCGGCGGTGTAGACGACAGCGGTGCCCTGACCAATCACAAGCTTGCGTTCTCCGTCTCGACGGACGGATGTTTAGAAAAGAGAGCTCGACTCCGTCCGTCCTTGCGGGGCTCTCCAGCAGGCTCTCAAGGACGGATGATGGCGTTGCGTGTCTCCGCGCTGACGCAGACGCAGACGCATGACTCCGGCTGTAGGTGACTACGGTCGTGTAGCAAACTTGCAGTTTTGCACAGGTACACGTCCCAGTCTCAGCAGTAACCTTTCCTTTTTAGCAGCGCTGGCCAGTGTGATGTTTTCCACCCTGTATTGTCTACGATAGAACGACCAATCTGGTTTTTTTTTACCTTCTTTATTTATTGAGCCGGTGTGAGTCCATGTGAGGTGAGCAGAGTAAATCTACTAAACTGCTGCTTGGAAACGATTCAAAGATCTTTAGAGACAAAATGTTTAGCAGAAAATAATCAATTAAACTAAAATATAAAAACATGAAATCTGCTTAAGTTCCCACCGGGAGTCAAACCCGCGTCAGCACACGGCTCACAGATGCCGTAACCAATAGACTACCATAGCTAATACAGCAACTCGCCCAAGACGCAGGTTTTGTCAGAGCAGGCGTGGGCGGAGCTTCACTGAAACAAAGCGTTTTATTTCCGGGTGTAAATTCAGGTCGACTAAAATAAATACGATGAGTGACATCTCGGTGCCAACGTTAATATTTGATCACGTACAGAGCCCACGTGAGCTGGAACCTTTAATAAGAGCAGACGTCTCTGCATCGTCTGATCCAAAGCATCTACATTTCTGTAGTGTGATAACTAAACGGCCTGATTTAGTTTACTTAACCGTGGCAGATTATTGGTGGAAACTTGGTCCTACACGTCCAGAGCAGCTTAGAGAAGTAAAAACAAATCAGGTGCTTTCAAATCCTGATTTACTGCAACATGTGGATTCTGGATCAGAATCCTGGTCTGAGTGATGGTGAGTTCACTGATCGTAGGATCTTTTATTGCTGCTTGGCTCTGATGCATTCATGATCCTCTAAAAAAAAAAGAGTCATTTTGCCTTTCAGATCGCCCCATCCGTGAAAGATCATTGAGTTCTGATCAGTAAAGGTTTTTTGATTAATTTGCCTCAAACTCAGAACATCCGAGTGGTACATCCTGTGGAACGCCTAAGCAGCAACGGTGAAATTAACCACTCGTGTGATTCTTTATTCAAGTTGTCACAAACTTCTGAGTCAAGCATTTCCTGCCTTTAACATGCAGAGTATTTCCTTTGGCTAGCTGGCGTGTTTTCAGCAAGTGCGCTATTAAATCACTGCTAGCACGGCAGCGTAGCACCTTCCTGCTTCCAGGAATTCTGTGTTTGGAGGCCTCGCTGACGGGACTGAGCCCAGAGCTGTCAGAGAGACATCCATCACCGCTGTGGCCCCACCTCAACACATCTGTGTTATTATGTTGATGTAAATCAGAGTGAGGTGAACAGCTTTCCTGTGTTTTAGCGTCTCTGTCATTTGAATGTTTTTGATAAGCAAACAGGATTAACTGTGATTGGTCTGAGGGAGCTGAGTCCCGCTCACACCTGTAGAATGAAGGATCCCGTCTGTGGCGGCCGGTGAAAACACTCCTGGGCCTTCACGTGAAAAGATTCCCCTCCTTTTTCTAGACTAAGTGTTCACATGAACAGCTGGACAATCACTACAACTCCAAAACATTCATTCATGTCCCATCTGCTAGTGAGCTAAAGGTAAAGTCAGGTATCCGCCTCAGAGAACAGGTAGACTAACATTCTAGTAGTGAGCAGCTGCTGTCTAGAACGCCCACATTTGTCCTGATTCACTATTTATTTAGACATTGGTTTGTTTTCCAGTTTGAGTCTCAATCATCTGTTCAAGGTGCAACACCCTCCTCCACCAGTAGGTGGCAGTAACGCAGTATGAGTTAGATATCCATCCATTATAATCACCAGTTGGGCAAGTTACTTCAAAACTGTAATGCATTATTTATTACTTGTTACCCTCATTTTAAAGTAATTCATTACATTACAATATTACTGATTTAAAATGTAAGGCATTACACTACTTTTGCATTACTTGAAGTTACTTTCACCGATACAACTTCAGTATGAATCTGGTCATGTGACGCTCAGTGAGCTCATGACATGTATGTGGAAGGTGATGTGGTGTCTGAGCTAGGGTTGCTGTTAACAACAGTCAGATATAATAACAGTGCTTTAAAATGATTGTTTACTAAATAAAAGCAACAACAATATGTACTCTCAGCACGCTGCCATCTTATATTACCTGAGCAGGGAGTGAGGTGGTGGGGGCTCCAAGCCTATATTTGCCTTGGTCCCCAAATGCCTTGATACGGCCCTGGATGTGGGACTGACTCCCGGGGTGATCTGATTCTATCACATGTATAAATATTAAATGTTTATATATTATTGCTTTTCACTGGTAAACATGTGTATTGGGGATAAATCTACCTACTTTTTTCCTTGTCAAGCACTTTGTTTTGTTTTCTGGATTTTATTTAAATAATTTCCGGCCCTTTCTCTCTAACCTTCCTGCATGCTGCATGTTCCAATAGTTCCCAAGCACAGCCACTGCTGCAGCTCACCGCTCCCCACCGGGATGGGGCACATGCACAGAGTTCCATCGATGTGTGATGACTTGAACAGTGACTAATAATAACCCGTCACTAGATGACTTGGTCGTGGTGAAAGTGTGAGAGAACGTATTTAAACTACACTTAAACGTGTTACACACGGCACGTAGTCTGTATGACGCAGCCATCATTTAGGGCCATTGTAGTGGGCTCTTTGTGATGCCTACCTTCTTCTTCCTGTGAAACTGGTGGGCCGGTGCCCTGGCGCCCTCCACACACACACACACACACACACACACACACACACACACACACACACACACACATATAGGATTGGATTGGGCCTGAGACAGACTGACCAGTGACCTGAAACCCTCTGGTTAAAGGGCGGGCACCACTGTCGCTCCAGCGCCCCCTATGGATGAGTTGCCACTGCTGTCTGACAACATAACGTAGGCTCAAAAAGCAACACGTGATGCCTTCAAAAATGGCCTCATCTCACATTTACCTGTAAACCATCCTCAGACTCTTGTGATTACGGAGATTTTCTTACGATTTTATTGAGTTTTGGCCTAGTTACTTAGTTTATTCTTTTATTTTACAGACGCTGACATGAGGTGTCTGTGTATGAATGGATGCATGAACGTGTACGGACTAACGTGTGAATGATGACACGTTTCTCTCTAGCTTATTCGTGTGTGTTGAACTGCTGCATTCTCTATGAAACAAGCTCTGTAAATGGAGTTTTGATTGATTGATGCCAAAGCCTTCTGGGTAAATGATCAGAGGAACGTTCTGGAAGGCGTGCGTCCCGTTCCACCTGGAGTCAAACGAACACTAAAGCACGGTGGTGCCAGTGTGATGGTCTGGGACTGCTCAGGGCCTGGACCACCTGCCGTATACTGATGGAACCATGAATTCTGCTCTCTGGCCGAACACCCTGACCTTTGACCTTAAGCTGGACGTTCCTGCTGGGACATGGTCTGATGCGTCTGACCGATCCTCCTCCAGAGGGCGGAGACTCCTCAGCTGTTACAGCAGGTTTAGGGCCAGGCAGGTTAACAGAAGCATGTTTTACTCTGGTTGTTTTGTCCGTTTGCTCATCTGGAACATTTGAGTGACAAAAAGTTAATCAGAACAAATGAGACTTTCGTGTGTGTGTGTGTGTGTGTGTGTGTGTGTGTGTGTGTGTGTGTGTGTGTGTGTGTGTGTGTGTGTGTGTGTGTGTGTGCAGTCACATGACACGCTCCAGCTGAGCTCTGGTTCTGACTTTATTCACAGGTTGACCAACACCAACATCATCCACAGAACTCCAGAGTGGACCCTCCTGTCAGTGGTTCTTCTTCATCTGTGAGTTAGGAGATTCCCTCACAGCTGTGTGTGTGTGTGTGTGTCTGTGTGTGTGTGGGTGCGCGTGTGTGTGTGTGGGTGCATGCGTGCGTGTGTGGGTGCATGCGTGTGGGTGTGCGCGCGTGTGTGTGTGTGGTTGCGTGTGTGTGGGTGTGTGCATTTGGGTGCGTGCGTGTGTGTGGGGGGGTGCGTGTGTGTGTGTTGGTGCACGCGTGTGTGGGTGCGGTGCATGTGCGTGTGTGTGTGTGTGGGTGTGTGTTGGTGCATGCGTGCACGCGTGTGTGTGGGGGGAGGGTGCGCGCGTGTGTGTGTGTGTGTGTGGGTGCGTACGTGCATATGTGTGTGTGTGTGTGTGTGTGGGTGCGTACGTGCATGTGTGTGTGTGTGTGTGTGTGTGTGTGTGGGTGAGTGCGTGTGTGTGTGTGTGTGTGTGTGTGTGTGGGTGCGTACGTGCGTGTGTGTGTGTGTGTGTGTGTGGGTGCGTACGTGCATGTGTGTGTGTGTGTGTGTGTGTGTGTGTGCGGGTGAGTGTGGGTGTGTGGGTGAGTGCGTGTGTGTGTGGGTGTGTGTGTGTTTGCTGGCAGTTCATGAACAGTTCCGTGCTGCTCCCGTCTTGAGTACACAGCCTTATCTCATCCTGATTGTTCCTCTGGAGATCCATGATGCAACACACACACACACACACACACTCCTGTAAAACAAACTTTGCCTTGATGGGAACAGCTTCACCTGATTCTGATTTATGCCCCCCCCCCCCCAAGAGGACACTGGATAAGCACCAGCTCTGTCTCCGCTGGAGGACGTCTGTAGGAGGCGGTGCTTGTGTGGATTCGGCTCGCAGGCGTTGGTGTCAAATCTGTTTTTCACTGTTGGATTTAACTGAGATTATATTCCCAAGATAATCTGTCACTTCCATAGTTAAACTTTAGGACTGGGTGGGTGGCCATGTTGGATCCTTTAAGTGATCTCACCAAACACGCCGTCACATGACCCGCTGAACTTCTCGTCCTCTCGTTCCTCCGTCATGAATAATTTGGTGTTGAGTCTAATCTGTCTGCTGCGTGGCAGCTGCAGAGCTCGCCTGGCCTCCATTGTTCAGCCAGCTGAATAATAGATCCCCCCCCTCCCCCCGCAACCCTAGCCTCGGAGCCAAGTCGAAGATAAACCAGCAGGATAATAAACCTTACAAACTAGAGTTAAAGTCAGGATTTAATCTGGATTATCTCCATTAGAAATATCACGTTCATTCTGTGAATCGGTTAGAAGTCATCTGACTCTGATGTAATGAAGCTGGTGAGTGAACCGCTCGGTGGACGTGGAACATCTGTACGATTCCGACCAGATTAGACATTATTAGTCTTCATCCTCCGGAGGCAGGAGGACCAACACCAACCCAACCAGTCAGGACCTGGACCTGCAGCTCAGGTCTAGAAGGGACCTGATGATGTCTAATTCAGGAACCAGAGCACCTCGGCTGGCGGGCCTTCTGCCACACCGAGTCACGGCTCAGATTAAAGACTCGGGAGGAGCTGAGCTCTGGTTCCGTCAGGCTCAGGTGACTTCACTCCAGGCTTTTACCTTTAGAAGGTTTAAACTGAACCGTTGAGCTTCAGAAGCAAACAGAAGGACCTTTTCAGCAGTTAGACTCTGCAGAACCCGCTCAGCAACCCTGCGCCTCAGAGGCTCCAACAGACGTAATCCTGAGATTATGTTTGGTGTTCTAGTTTGAGCTGGACTTGATCCTGTGTCTGCGTGCTTCCCAGGTTGTCGGAGGTGTCTCCGGTGGTGCTGGAGGCCTTGGAGACGTCAGCTTCTGTGGAGTACTTGAACACACTGATGGAGGGGCTCAACCTCCAGAGACGGGACCTCCTGAGTTTAGTCCAGATGTTCAGACCTCCATCTCACATGTTGACGTGCACGTCTCCCCCATGAAGATCTGGGAGGAACGCTCGTCTTTCTGATTTACACAATAAAATTATACAAAATAAAGTTGGAAGTGTCCGTCTTCTGTTGTGTTTATTGGGTTAGAGCCTGCAGAACCAGGTCCAGATGTTTGGAGCTGCAGAACCAGGTCCAGATGTTTGGAGCTGCAGAACCAGGTCCAGATGTTTGGAGCTGCAGAACCAGGTCCAGATGTTTGGAGCTGCAGAACCAGGTCCAGATGTTTGGAGCTGCAGAACCAGGTCCAGATGTTTGGAGCTGCAGAACCAGGTCCAGATGTTTGGAGCTGCAGAACCAGGTCCAGATGTTTGGAGCTGCAGAACCAGAGGAATCCCGCCCACCGCTTCACACCTCCTTACTTTATGGCGCCATAATGTCATTAGTTATATGGTGGTGAGCCTGAGTCCAGATGGCACGCGCAGCCAAACGTTCCTCTGCTGAAAGTTGGACTTATCAGACGTAATTGATGGTCTGCGTGACGTCACTCCGTCAAATCAGTGGAGAAGAAAGCAAACGCAACTCTTCAGGTTAATGTTTAATCACCAGAAACAAACCAGCCTTTACCTGGAGCTCCTTCTCACAGCAATCAGGTCAAAACAAACAAACGGAGTTAAATAAGAACCGAGTCCAGCAGCTGCAGCTCACTTCAGGCCGTGCTGCGCCTCCTTGTGCCTCCGCAGGTCCACCTTCCTCTGGAAGCCTTTCCCGCACAGGTCGCAGCCGAACGGCTTGAATCCCGTGTGCTTCCGGCTGTGCGTGATGAGGTTGGAGCTCTGACTGAACGCCTTCCCGCACACCTGACACTTGTGCGGTTTCTCACCTGAAAGAAAACGCAGGTGTTGGAGCAGCAGCAGCGCCCCCCACCCCCCCTCCTCCCTCCGGCCCCCTCACCTGTATGGATGAAGGTGTGCTTCTTCATGTCCGACTTCTGGTGGAACCGCTTCCCGCAGTACTGGCACGGATACGGGCGCGTGTCCGAGTGGATGAGCAGGTGCGTGGAGAGCGTGGAGGAGCGTTTGAAGCTCTTCCCGCAGATTTTACAGCTGAAGCTCCTCTCCTGGGAACAAAACTAGAATCAGTCTCCGTGTGCAGACCTGCGCATCTGGGCTTTAGCGCCATGGCTTCGGCCTTGGAGCGCACATCCGAACCGTGCACGCACCTGTGAGTGGACCGCGCGGTGCTGATCCAGGCTCACTGCGTGTCCGAAGGTTTTCCCGCAGGTCTCGCACTCAAACGGTCGCGTGCCGCTGTGAGAGCGTCTCACGTGGACCTCCAGCCCGTGAGGTGTGGAGAACACCTTCAGAGGAACATGTTTAAGCTTCTACCCAGGACCAACATCATGCGAGCATCACATGTGAATGATTCATGCCCTGAAACTGCGCGCGCAGCGACGCACCTTGCAGCATTTGATGCATTTATACGATCCGTTCGTCTCCAGGTCAGAGGTCATGAAGTCCTCAGACTTGATCTCTGCCACGCGCAGCTGCTGCTTTGCGTGCAGGTAAAGCTCTTCTCCGTCCTGCATCCTGCAGATCCGGCGGGCCGCGGAAGAGCAGTCCCGGAAGCACCCGACCCGGAGGCTCCGATGAGCGTAAAACTCTTCGTCCTCTGTACCGTAGACACCGGCGACGCGTGGCTGAGGCCCCCCGTGGCCCCGGAGGTGTAGCTGGTAAGGCCCCGGAGGCCGAGGCCTCTGATCGGAACCGGAGTAGTCCGACCACGGGTAGAAGAGCGGGATGCTGACGGGACCCTCCTCAGCTGTGCAACATTTGTCCGAATCTGGGGATTTATTAGAAATTTGTATTGTATTAGTAATAATAATTATAGTTGTTATAGTTATAATAATAATAGTAGTAATAATAAATACTATTATAGTAATAGTAGTAATAATAAATATTGTTATAGTAATAATAATAACAATAATAATTACAGTTGTTATAGTTATAGTGATATTAGTAATAATAAATATTATTATAGTAATAATAATATCAGTTATAGTAATACTAGTAATAATAATAATAATTACAGTTGTTATAGTTATAATAATAGTAGTAATAAATATTATTATAGTAATAGAAATAATAATATCAGTCATAATAGTAATAATAATTATAGTTGTTATAGTAATAGTAGTAATAATATATATTATTATAGTAATAATAATAATTACAGTTGTTATAGTTATAGTGATATTAGTAATAATGAATATTATTATAGTAATAATAATAATGGTAATAATAATCCTTTAATGGCTTGAATTCTCTCCGATTGTAAAACCCAAATCTTTTCTGATTAATGTGAAAAAAATCACGAGTTTTATCAGTTAAACCGATTTGTTCGATAGTTGAAATAATTTTTAAGCTGGGTAATTAAATAATTATGAATATTTATTGTTAACGTTGTTGTTGTTATTTTTATTTACCATTTAATTTTTTGTTGAAATGTATTTAAAAGCTCATAAACAATGGCCTAAACGCGACTCGACGTCAGGTGCAGGTGAACCCGCTCTGTGCCCACCTGGGGAGGACGAGGGGGACGGCGGGCGCCAGAAATCACAGTGCGAGGCTCTCTCTCTGCAGCTCCGCGGGGACCCGGAGGACAGTGACACCGCCGACCGCAGGCTCCAGCCGGGGGATCCTCTGTCAGCGCGGCTGCCTGTATCCTCAAGCGGCTCCGACACAACCCCCCTTGATTCGGTCGCTGTTTACAGTAGAAAAGGTTAAAACGTCAATGTGCATCTGTAAAGCGGCAACAGTTTCTGTGCGTAATTACGCACGCATGAACCCACCTGCGCACACGTGAGCCAGAGCAGCGTCCAGCCTGCTGCGGTCATCGTCCCAGCAGCGGGGCTGGTGGTAGCTGTGGGCCCGCTTGCTCTTCACCAGGAAGGACCTCGGCATGGTGTCTGTCCTCCTCCGGACTCCGCTCCTCTGCGCCCGCTCGGACCTTATCTCTGGACAGATTTTTAACAACACTGGTTGTCAAGCGAGACGGCGTTGGGATTTTTGGCGACCCATTACGCATGCGCAAAGAGACCGGATCGTTTGCCAGGTGTCATCGGGCTGGTGGCCAAAAGCTAAGCCAGGTAACCCTCCACCCCACCCCCATCCGGGTCCTGGATGAAGTCTAAATAAAGCCAGTTTCTGTGGATCTGAGGAAGAACTTCGTGATTTTTACCCAAAACTTCACATCTGCAGCCTCAGTCCAGCGATTGGAATGGATTTTTACACAAAGAGTGAATGAAACAGGAAGCTGAGACTGGGTCAGCCCAGGAGAACCCGAACTTTACCTCCTGACCACGCGCGTAAGAGTTATGTCTATAATAACGGTGTGTGTGTGCGTGCGTGTGTGATGGATAATGACCTAATTGTTCTGCCGGTTGAAAAGTGATCCCGTTAATGAAACGCGCACGGCTGCAACAGCCTGCTTGCTGGAGAGCACGGTGTCCCGTTACAGTTCCACTGCGCTTTACACCACACACACACACACACACACACACACACACACACACACACACACACACCCGGTGGGAGCAGGGTCTGTTTGATGCACCTGCAGCAGGTAGAACAAGCAGAGCAGATAGCAGCAGCACGTGTTTCTACTCACACTGGAGAGTCCAGCTCCGGGGACAGCTCTGTCCTGATGGTGAGACCAGCAGACCTCTCTCCACCCCCACCCTCGCAGACGAGTTTTCCTGTAAAGCGGCCATGACAGACAGACACCGACACACTGATTCAGGTGTTGATAAGGGAGCAGAGCCTGCAGAAGTTCTGCATTTGCACAAAAAGAAATCATGTTGCTTTTAGACACGACTTCCTTCTCTCACTGGCGCTTAGATTTGACATTTTTATCAGCAAAGCTTGCTTTCCCTCATCTGATTTCAGTTTCATCATCCCAACACTTTCACATTTGAACACTCTGACTATGTTTACTGATCAAAGTCAGTCAAAAACTGGGAGCTGGACGTTTTTTAAAACAAATTTAGCTTCAAACACAAAAAGTTTTGTCATCTCCAGAAATCCGAACCTGCGCGCTCCACCCTGTGATTGGGCCTGCTGGAAGACTTTAGGAGGGATCCTGCTGCATGTTTTTATTTTCTCTGCTGATTCTCAGC